ATAGCCTCTTGAATATATCTCAATAGTAAATTTGTGAAAAAGTTCATACATTGAATAATGAAATCCTATTTATACTAATGGCCAGAAAACCTAGTAAAAACGTAATTAGGTTACAAAATATTGTAAAATTGGAAAGAAAATAGAATTATATTCTAACAAGGAAATTCACGAAAAAAATTAAAATTCTCGCCAAATTGTTCTCGACATGTTTTTGTGCAATCGCAAGCCCAAAAGTACTATGCACCTACGCAACCTTGTGTAGAATTTTGTTCCATTTCCAGAATGTACTCATGAGCTAAAATCCGACAACTGGGCTAAAAGATATGCCCGTTTTCATCCATGTTGCTCGTTTGTTGCTTGAATCGAGTTGATCAATTTGGTTTATTTGATCCATTTGGTTTTTTCTTCTGAACCCAACATGAAACTTGTTCCTTAACTTGTTAGCTTTGAAACTTCATCCACCATAACATGAGCAAGCAATCTCATTGCCTCTTTTACCCGCTTTGTCCTCGAACGTATCATTGGGTCTCATTCGATAATCAACGGATCCCGTCTCGTGCATGTCCTCATCGAGCTCGACTCCCGGATCATATCATAAAAGTTATTGATGTAATGAAAAATAATATTTTATTGAAAAATATATGGTTGAAAATGAGTTTTGAAAAAATGTGTCAAACAAGGGCTCAATCACCAATTTTTGCCCATTATATTGTATTTAAGCTTTTCCAAATAGCTCGACTTGAACAATGCATTCTGTAATATTATGTCCTTGTTTAGTATGGCTAAAATCAAAATTTTAATAGATTATGATAAATGTTAATGAAATGTGATTGAAAAGTTGTGGATCATATAAAATATATGATTAAAATTAATTATTGATTTTGACTTAAGCTTTTGACAAAATGTTAAGCCACGCCAAATCGGTCATCATTATTTTTAAAAATATATTTTTTTTCTTTTTTATTTTCAACCACAAATTCTTTAATAAAAAGAATAATTACATAGAAAAGGAAGAAAATAATTTTAAGTTAAAGATAAAAAGAAAACAAATAATATATTTAATAAAATATTTAAAGAAACAACAAGAGGAAAATGAAGATAAAATGTGTAAAACATATTACTATACAAAAGCTTTAAAAGAAATTAAGAAAGGATAATGGATTTACGAGAAAAAAATTTGAAAAACAAGTAATAGAAAATTTTAGACTCCCAGTAGGATCTTATCAAATAAAAGGACCGAATACAACTATGTTTCAACCATTAAGCTCACGAGGAGAATCTGATAGATTTCTTAATATGCAATTAAATTGGATAAGCGCCTTCTTATAGCAAACTTATAAAAATATAAATCTACAAGATAAATTAGCCATGGAAGAATTACAACAATTAAATATACAGGATAAAAATGTTAAAGAAAAAATCCTAGCTATCCAAAATAAATTAACAATACAATTAAAAGACATGATAGAAAAATATTAAAAATATAGATGAAGAAATGATAAGAGAATTCCAAATAAAATCAAGAGAAATAATAAACTAAGATAAAATTGGAATGATTATAGAGAAAATAGAAAAATTAAAAGAAAAAATAGAAGACAATAGAAGGATTATATCAATAGAAGAAAGAATTAAAAATAGACGATATGCATGACAAACTATTTAAGGCACAAAAAACCCAAAATACTAAACCAAAGGTTTAAAATGTATGTAAGTGAATATATTGAAGAACTAAAATTATTAATAAAAACATTAATGAATGCTGTTCAAGATATAAGAAATGAAGTAAAAGAAGTAAGAAATGATAAAAATATATTAAAGCTTGACATTAGAGAATTAAAGAAAATAATAAAAATAAAAATAAGAAAATAGAAAAAAAAAACTTATAGAAAAAGAAATGTTTAGAATATGAAAGAAACATATTGAACAAGAAAATATGGCACTAGAAGCAGAAAGCATGAATGATGAATTTTGAAAAAATATTTTACCCAAAATATTAGAAGAAGAAAATTCTAGAGATAAATTATTAGGTAAATTAAAATTTGAAGAAAAGAAAGATAATAAAGATGAATGAAGAGTTATATTTGCTTATAGACAATTTTGATCAATTAAACTTAGAAAATACAAGTGAATATAAGGTCTTTATGAATACTGAAAGAGGACCTAATACAGCAGGAGCCTCTAAAAATGAATTACCGGATCCAGATGAAAGTTATGCACTTATATACAATAAACCATATAAACAATTTTATGACAATGTAAGAGATAGACAACTATCTAAGGGAAGTAAATATAGAGATAAATTTGAACCAAATGATAATTATGACAAACCTATCAATCATGGAGGAACAAAATTAGGTTTAGATTGTAAAATAGATACTAAAAAAGCTTTATTCACTTGAACAGATTTAATGATATTATTATTTTTATATAACAAAGATGATACATGAGATAATACAGAAAGAATAATAGATTTCTTAATAGCACCTTTTGAAGGAAATGTTAGAAATTGGTGGGAAGAAATAAATAATGATACAAAAATATTGATAAAAGAAACGTACAAACAGAAATAATAAAGTCAGATAGACAAGGAATCGAAAGATTAGTAGAATATATTGCAAATGAATTTTTAGGAGAAAAATTGATTAGAAATTTTCAAGATGTAGCAAAAAGAGAAAAAGATGATGCTAGAATAAAATTAATAAATTTAACAATTTGTGATATGTGT